AGTCGGACAGGAACAGATCCCACGTCATCTCCGAGAGATTCACTATCTCCTCGGCAGATTCCAAGACAAGTTGGAGCACCTCAACTGAGGATGCCTCCGGCATCTTGTCTTCGACGACCTCGAGCAACTCGTTCGTAGGTCCGTCCTCTTGGACCTAGAATGATCCAAGGGTCACTCGTTTCGACGTTCCCTTGATCTTCTTTATATGTCTGGTGCTCGTTCTTCGAGTCACCATGACCTTTGACCTGGAAGAAGGTGTCGTTGCTGTATTAGCCAACACACTCCTTCCAACCGCACCAGGCTCATAGCTCTGTAGCGGTTCTTGTGGCGCTTGACTCCCTGTCAGCCCACCATCAACTGCCACAGGCTCTCGGCTCTGTGCAGGACCATTGGAAGCATGACTACCTGTTATCGTTCCATTCACTACACCTGTCTCCTCGAGCGGGGTAGAAGTTTGTATCACTGACTTCCTGTCAGGGCACTTCCAACTACTCCAGGCTCAACGAGCTGGGTTATACCTGGTGTCAATTGACATATCGTCATTGCACCATCGACTGTGTTGTACATAGCATCAATCGCATAAGCCTCTTGTAGGCGCACATCCTTCCCGGTTTTTTGCGTAGAGTTAGCGACTGTGCGTATACGCCAGTCAATCCATGTTTGGTGTTTATCCAACCAAGGCATGCCTAGGATGTGGTCATACGGACTCTCTATACCGAGCACTGTGAACTTTTCTTTACAAGAGAAGTCACTAAAGCCGAAGGAGAGTTCAACTTGAACTCCCTGATTTTACGAGAGAGCCGTTCGCTAAACGAACGGTCTCCTCTTCTCGCTTGCAATCCTGGCAAAGCGACTCATAACTCGCCAGACTCTTTTTTAAAGCTGCGAGTCTCACAAAATTCTGTGATGCACCCGAATCAACGAGAAGGGTCATCACTTGGTCATAGCCTCGTACTCGAGCGCTATAGACCAAAAGGGTTGAGGTCCGACCTTTCGGAACCTCAGGGACTATGCTACCCATTTGTTCGATAACTATGAACATAGGGGTAGCTTCAGAATTCGCGACAGTAGAAGACATCATGTCCCTACTGAGCTCCCACATTTCCCGACCCATCTTGGGCAGGTGCTGAACCCATGCTCGGTGCACGATGATTTTTCGCACCTCCCTTCGGTTAGGGAGCCTTCTTGCTGGCTGCCTTAGACCCATCAGAAAGTTCGGCATAGCAGCGAGCCATCATATGGCCTATAGTGCCGCACTTGTAGCAGACCACGTCCGCATTTCCTAACTCCATTGAATTAGCATCTGACCTCTCGGCTGACGGCTTATAAGAAGTTGTCGCCGAGCCGCTGTTGTAGGATTGATCCTCAACCATTACAATTTCAATTGCCTCCTCCATCGTCTTTTGCACCTTTCTAAAAAGGGCCTGACGCGATGGGCCGTGCCTAAGTCCATTCATGAACGTGGTCACCTTAATACATTTCGGTATCGGTTCCCCATTAATGGAAGCAGACAGCGAACTCATTTCCTGCACATACTCTTAAAGAGATCATTTCGCCTGTCGTGCTCCAAAAGAAGCGCGCCTGAAGTAATACTTCATTGTGAGGCGGCTGATACATGACACGAATCTTTGACTTCATGATGGAAATGCATCAGCATTAGCCAACAGCGCAGAGTATGCCCACTCTGACGCTTTGCCACGCAAATTTGACATGGCATACGACACCATTCTGGTGTCGTCTTCGATGAAATGCGCCATACCGCATTTCTCCACGGCTAAAAGCCAGTAGACAAATGTATGCGGGGCAGTCCCATCAAACTTCGGAAGGTCCATCCGAATGGGCCTCGGTTGAACAGGCCGGGCCGAGATCGTCTCAACAGTTCTGTTGAGCGCATCCTTCCGAGCTTGCTCACGCAAAAGCTCATCCTGAGTCTTACTGATGGACTCAGCCGTAGCTTTGCTGGTACCTCGGACGCGTTTCTACGCTTTCTGAGCACAAACGCCTCAAATTGCTCCATCTGAGCAACATGTTGCTAAGGAGGACAATGCAAGAGGTTGGCCAGGGCTCGTTCACCAAGTCCCTGCGCCATATGCTCTGCCAACTCCCTAAGATGTTGGGAGAGGTGAGGAAAATCACCTCAATCCGCGTTGAGGGACATCCATGTCCACACGCACGCTCAGAGAGACGGGCCGTGGGAAGGACTACTAGTGCTACCAAGTGTAGACGGGCACTTCTACGTATCTGCCACGTACTATGCAAGAACACACCTTCCTTCAGCGCGAGGAAGCGGTCAGACCGTCTTACATCCGAGTGTGAGGGTGGTTGCGTTGGTCGGTCGCTTTTGTCGCAGAACCAATCTTTTGCCGGCCGCTTTGAGCGGACCGCGCAACGAACAACTAAGGAGTACCTCACTTACGTCACACCGAAGCTTATCAAGCTTCTCGTGCGCAGTGGGCAATAGTTAGTAAATTCAAGACTGACTTATATTTAATAGATTTTAAACTATATATAAGATTAACTACTGATGGGCTAATTATGCAAAGATCGGATACGCGTCTCTTTAGAAGCGTGTCCTTACGTGCGAGCTTAAAATATATTTGAGCTCGATGATGAAGTCTGTTCGAAGCGTCGCCATGACGCCTAGTCCCAACTGGCGTCATCGCCGTTGAATGTGAATCCATCCATGGATATCACATTCACGAGGGTGGGTCGCATTGATGTGCCACACCCAACTGGCAGGCCTAAGGTACCTCGTACCTTTTTAGGCCTGCCCGCTAAGTATTCGATACTTAACAATTCGTGTAAAATTTAGCCCGTTACACACTTGGATCTTAGAAACTTGACAACTGTCACACACGGTCTTTTTAACACCATGGATATCACATTCACGAGGGTGGGTCACATTGATGTGCCGCACCAAAGTGGCAGGCCTTAGGTACCTCGTGCCTTTTTAGGCCTGCCTGTTTAGTATTCGATACTTAACAATTCGTGTAAAATTTAACCCGTTACACACTTGGATCTTAGAAACCTGCACAACTGTCACACACGGCCTTTTTATCACCATGGGTATCACATTCACGAGGGTGGGTCACATTTATGTGCCGCACCCAAGTGGGAGGTTTAAGGTCCCACGTATCCTTTTAGACCTCTCGGTTAAGTATCATATACAGTAAGTAAAGTATTCGTGTAACTATCGACCCGTTACATAAGGTGGATTACCTAGTTTATCAGATTTCACATGCAGGTTGGGGTCTTATATAAAAGATTTAGGAGCGCTGCAATGTTATCCGTTTCCTCAGAAAATGCAGTCGTTTCTAAAAAGCTTGAATTAGCGGTCGATTAATTCATTATTTTGCAATTTATGTATCAGTGCTCTATGACTTACGGGAAGCGAGATTCAACGAGATCGCTCGCTAGGAACGTGAATGCATAGACCTCTACTGTAAGAGATGGTGAGGATCGCCACTTTCAAGAAAATATGATAATGATCCAGACTCGAGATCGGGGGTGGGCGATGTGTTTCATTCCGCCTGAAGAGTGAACGCAATTTAGAAGGTCGGACTCGCTAGAAGAAAGCATTGATCGCATTCACTTTGTTGAAAGACAAGTTCGCTATTACCTTAATTCCTCAAGTATTTCGATCCATATCGACATCCATTAATTGGCCAAGCATATGAATGGACTCGATGCCCATAATTATTTGTGAATTTACGCTAAAGTGCGCAAGTGGAAAGACGAAACAAGGATCGATCACAGCAGAGTAAGACCGTTTGGCGAGTCTAAAGCCAAGTTGGATACCCTCCGAGGCTGCCGTCAACTATAAAACCTCGTCTTCATTTTTTAATTGGATGTCACCCATTTCCCGCAGTGACCGAAGAAGGTCAGACCAGCTCTATTCGTAAGTCTACCGGAACATACGGTGGCTGTAAGGGATATGACCGGGCTATAGCGTACACACTCTACTTCTCAAAAGACAAACATTCTAGTGTACGACTGGTGTCCGTCACGCCTGGCAGGTTGCTGTCGTGTTTTTCAACAGCCGTAATATGACATTGGACCTCAGGGCTGTGTCGGTGTCGAGCCACGGAGGATTGAAGATACAGGTTCCTCCTAGTGCCGACACACTGAACAGTACGAATGTGAAAGTCACCTACGGGACCCACTCTCTTGAAAGCGGACAGGCATGCACTCGAATTCAACACTTCCGAGCAAGGTGAGTCTCAGGACCTGATCACGTGGGAGCAGCTTACACATGTGGTCAAGTGCGCCTCAATTAATACGGTGTGGAACGGTAAGTAGTTATGGATATGTTCGTTGCTTCTGAAATCATTCTTAGAAGCGCAAGATAGAAAAAGACAGAAGTGTGTTGGTTATGCAGCTAGTATACATCGTACGAAAATACAGCATTCTATCTTGTACTTACGCTTCTACTACGAATCGTTTTCGCTTGCTCATAAAAGGTTGTAAACTAGCTACCATCACAGTGACGAGTCTTCAGAGCGACTTAACTCGCTTTAGACAAGCACTTGATCAAAAAATCAATCGACTCATCGATCGTTGGAAGCTGACACAAAGTGTTTAATACAGCAGAGTTCTGGACGGTGTCAGCGATGCGTTTAGGTAGGACAACTCCGAGACCCTCGCCTACTTTGCACGCGGCTAGCATGTCATTGTTGAAGTGGTGCTCTTTACGACCGGCGAGAAGGTGAAACAATTGCAGAAACAGACTTCCCTGTTGTATGCAAAGGTGTTGCAAGCCGCTGTTTCTTGTCTGCTAGCTCCACCACCCGTCACGAAAAATCGTGGTGTCCGAAAAAAGAGTTTGACGAGTTTAGCTCGACATATAGCCGATATCTCGCTGGTTCTAAATTTTTGAGCCTGTTGTTCGAGCACATGACGGCCGTTAACATGATTTCAAGTGAACTATTAAGTTAAAATATTGCAGGTTTCTTTATCATTCCTATTGGATCCAGTTTGATAGTATTCACAACGTCCAGCTTCTATGCCTGTTCGTGCGTGCAACCTATTAGATCAGGAACACTCAGCTCTGCAGTTGAGCTTCTAGACACTGCATCAAAGAACTCGTCCTCGTCGTCTTTTGTTTCGTCAACTGCTTCACTTTTGTCTCCATTAAAACATAGTTCCAGCTCCACCGCATGCCCACTTGGCAGATCAACAGCTGCGATTACCTGGATGGCCGCTTGGAACGTGGTCAGGACATAACCCTCGACACCTTTACCCCCTCCATTCGTAAAAAACGATATGAAAGCAATTTCAGCCACCAAATCCGTATCGGTACGACACACCCGCGGAGATTGAACCAGGAACGCGCATAAGATGGGAATCAACATGTCTGTGTTAGACGCTGACTGGTGTAGCTTTTCGGCGAAACAGCAAATACTCCGGAAAGCATCGCAGAGAAGCACCAACTTTAACAACGGAGAAGACGTCTCTTGCATCATGGCAACCATTTTCGTTTCGGCTTTCTGTAGATCTTCCGCCAGCATAGTGTGTTGAGAATAGCTACTATTACCACCTTGATTCTGAAATCGTTGTTGGAGTAGTGCGGACGAGTGATACTTTTGCTCACGTCGAATATCCCTCAGGTTGTTAGCAAACGCAGTCTCTGCATCCTTGAACGCATGCTGAAACTCGCTAAACACCATTGCATGGACGTCGTCGTAAATGATACGCTCGACAGCAAGGGTGCAGCTGCTTACGGATTGAATGGTGCTTGCCAAACTTGGAAAGCACTGTAATGTCGCGCCCAGCACGTGCGCGATGTACATTTTGGTATCGTGGAGAGTATCTTTTGCCAATGTACGAGCTCCAACTGTTTTGTCAGAGCTTGCTTTTCCAGTAAAGCTTCGTCGCCTCAGTTTCTTTCGATGTCTATCAGTAAAGCGCTTACGAAAAGCCTCACAGAGTTGAACATTCATTTGCCCAAGAAGTTCACCGGGTGAAGCAAAAATGCTAAATAGGAAACGGTACACTTCATCATCATCTGGTATGGTATCCATTAACACCACAATTCCTTCGTCACTTGATAAAGCATTCATGGAAGCATCCTCGCTCTTGTCACAGCGATCCACTTGGCAATGTTGAGAATTGGATGACTGAAATCGGCGAAGGAACTCGGCATCCTTCCGACAAGCTTCGTCCGACGGCGCGCTGGTATAGTTTTTCTTACAATTCCAGCAGATCTCCATCGCCCACTCGCCCTTCCTTAGCCTTTCTCTTCTGCGCTGTGATGTCTTCACTTTGTTCTGATGCGTAACAGTAGCTGCTGCCGCTGCACTTGCCGTAAGTCCAATCCCCGCCATCATCGTTTCTGTACCTACACTTGCAAGCAGCATATTCAATCCAGCCATAACTCCTGCCGCAGGACCCATAGCAATAGCCCCAACCACGCCACCAGCAGCTAGTAACGGAGCCAGCCTTTTCACAAACTTTGACGCTGTCTGTAATTCCTGTTGCTTTTGCGTTGCTCCTTGATTTACGAATGCTACAGAACTAGCTCCAACATCAGCGACACTGCTACTGTTTAGTTCCTCAATTAGCGTAGCCAATGTGAATGTCTCTGTTTTTGCTCCAACATATTTTTTTTCAATCTTGAGCTCCGTATTTCTCGGTATTTCCTCAAGAGGTAATGACAGCAATGCATCGTTCGATGGCAGAGCTTGACAACACATTGGCATGAGAGTTTTGTGGCCTCTACAATTGCGATGAGAGTGCGAGAAACTGGCGCATTCTCTGTGTATGAAATCGCCACAGTTTAAACACTGACAAATTCCACAATTTGATACTTTAGGAAGTACAAAAGAAGCTCCAAAAGCAGTGAGTTTCCGTCTTCTAGAGGGACTGGTCTTATAAATAAACAAAAGACGATCGTGACAAAGTAAACAGACTCGATAGAAGAGCAGACTACGGTCTACAGTTGATAGTAGATGGAGCGGCACGGGTGAGAAGCTATGACTGTGCCAAGGGTCAGAGAAGGAACCAGCCGTGTTACGGAGATAAGCACTGGTAGTAAATGATATTACAGAGGTAACAAGTGGTGTAAGACGCGTCACGATGAAGAGATTTCCAGTGGGGAAGACGTACCTGAGTGCTCCGTGCATTGGCATAGCCTAGGAAATAGTAAAAACGCTAAAAAAGTAATAACGTTTTGTGCAAAACGAACTTAGGCAGGTGAGAAAAAGTCAGCTTTTGTCTATGACTTTGTCGTTATTAAATAAGCTGTCGTTATGAGTTGCACTACTTCAATGGTCAATGTCGGGTCAGCTGCCTGTTCTACTCGACGACGTGGTGGTCATTGCCAGGTCCTTTATTAAATTAGATACATTGCATAGTAATGTGCACACGCACTGTCAATAATGTCGCCGCTCTCAGCAGCTCGATCAGAAAAGGAGAAAAAAGAGTCGTCGTAGTCCGACAGTCCATAACAGCGTCTGTTTGCGGTACTCGAGGCCATGCTGAGGTAAATATTAGCTAAGACAAATGCTGAATTCTGGTGCAGCTCTTCCTGAAAGTTTTATGTTGCTGCTCGACTGCTAGAAGCGAAATGCCAACCTTATACGGCAACTGTAACAGAGCTACGCAGCGCTTAAGTCAGAGGAAGACCGTAAGGGCTGAAAGATTTAAAGAGTTAGTTAAAGGACAGATGAATGCCACCAAGTTCTATGGAACTAATTAAACGACTACGAAGTCTACCCATTCTATGGAATTTAGGAGGGACTTCTAGTCAACAAGCAATAAGCTTAAGGATTTAGATAACCAACGCAGAGAGTGCAAGAACAAGCTAGGAGCTTTAAGGGTCAAGTATCAAACGCACAAAGTGCACAAGATAAGCAAGCCAATACAGGCTGATCTCAATGACTCAAAATGAAAAATGATTTTAGTATGCATTACGATCTTTAAGAATAAACGTACCCAACCATAGATCCATTCCAATAATAGTTAACATAATAGTAATTATACTATGCAGGCTTCTTTACTGAATGATGTAACGGGCTAAAGTTACACGGATCGTTAAGTATCGAATACTTAGCGGGCAGGCCTAAAAAGGTACGAGGTACCTTAGGCCTGCCACTTGGGTGTGGCACATCAATGTGACCCACCCTCGTGAATGTGATATCCATGGATGGATTCACATTCAACGAAGATGACGCCAGTTGGGACTAGGTGTCATGGCGACGCTTCGAACAGACTTCATCAGCGAGCTTAAATATATTTTAAGCTCGCACGTAAGGACACGCTTCTAAAGAGACGCGTATCCGATCTTTTTTGCATAATTAGCCAATCAGTAGTTGATCTAAAATGTAATTTAATATCAATTAAATATAAGTCAGTCTTAAATTTACTAACTTTTGTCCGCTGCGCACAAGAAGCTTGATAAGCTTCTGTGTGACGTAAGTGAGGTACTCCTTAGTTGTTCGTTGCGCGTACCGCTCTAAGCGGCCGCCAAAAGATTGGATTATGCGCTTTAAGCGACCGACCAACGCAACCACCCTCGCACTCGGATGTAAGACGGTCTGAACACTTCCTCACGCTCCTTGAAGGTGTGTGCTAGTAGCACAAGGCAGCTTCGAAGAAGTGCCCGTCTACACTTGGTAGCACTAGTAGTCCTTCCCACGGCCCGTCTCTCTGAGCGTGCGTGTGGACACGGATGATGTCCCTCAACGCGGATTGAGGTGATTTTCCTCACCTCCTCCAACATCTTAGGGAGTTGGCAGAGCATATGGCGCAGGGACTTGGTGAACGAGCCCTGGCCAACCTCTTGCATTGTCCTCCTTAGCAACATGTTGCTCAGATGGAGCAATTTGAGGCGTTTGTGCTCAGAAAGCGTAGAAACGCGTCCGAGGTACCAGCAAAGCTACGGCTGAGTCCATCAGTAAGACTCAGGATGAGCTTTTGCGTGAGCAAGCTCGGAAGGATGCGCTCAACAGAACTGTTGAGACGATCTCGGCCCGGCCTGTTCAACCGAGGCCCATTCGGATGGACCTTCCGAAGTTTGATGGGACTGCCCCGCATACATTTGTCTACTGGCTTTTAGCCGTGGAGAAATGCGGTATGGCGCATTTCATCGAAGACGACACCAGAATGGTGTCGTATGCCATGTCAAATTTGCGTGGCAAAGCGTCAGAGTGGGCATACTCTGCGCTGTTGGCTAATGCTGATGCATTTCCATCATGAAGTCAAAGATTCGTGTCATGTATCAGCCGCCTCACAATGAAGTATTACTTCAGGCGCGCTTCTTTTGGAGCACGACAGGCGAAATGATCTCTTTAAGAGTATGTGCAGGAAATGAGTTCGCTGTCTGCTTCCATTAATGGGGAACCGATACCGAAATGTATTAAGGTGACCACGTTCATGAATGGACTTAGGCACGGCCCATCGCGTCAGGCCCTTTTTAGAAAGGTGCAAAAGACGATGGAGGAGGCAATTGAAATTGTAATGGTTGAGGATCAATCCTACAACAGCGGCTCGGCGACAACTTCTTATAAGCCGTCAGCCGAGAGGTCAGATGCTAATTCAATGGAGTTAGGAAATGCGGACGTGGTCTGCTACAAGTGCGGCACTATAGGCCATATGATGGCTCGCTGCTATGCCGAACTTTCTGATGGGTCTAAGGCAGCCAGCAAGAAGGCTCCCTAACCGAAGGGAGGTGCGAAAAATCATCGTGCACCGAGCATGGGTTCAGCACCTGCCCAAGATGGGTCGGGAAATGTGGGAGCTCAGTAGGGACATGATGTCTTCTACTGTCGCGAATTCTGAAGCTACCCCTATGTTCATAGTTATCGAACAAATGGGTAGCATAGTCCCTGAGGTTCCGAAAGGTCGGACCTCAACCCTTTTGGTCTATAGCGCTCGAGTACGAGGCTATGACCAAGTGATGACCCTTCTCGTTGATTCGGGTGCATCACAGAATTTTGTGAGACTCGCAGCTTTAAAAAAGAGTCTGGCGAGTTATGAGTCGCTTTGCCAGGATTGCAAGCGAGAAGAGGAGACCGTTCGTTTAGCGAACGGCTCTCTCGTAAAATCAGGGAGTTCAAGTTGAACTCTCCTTCGGCTTTAGTGACTTCTCTTGTAAAGAAAAGTTCACAGTGCTCGGTATAGAGAGTCCGTATGACCACATCCTAGGCATGCCTTGGTTGGATAAACACCAAACATGGATTGACTGGCGTATACGCACAGTCGCTAACTCTACGCAAAAAACCGGGAAGGATGTGCGCCTACAAGAGGCTTATGCGATTGATGCTATGTACAACACAGTCGATGGTGCAATGACGATATGTCAATTGACACCAGGTATAACCCAGCTCGTTGAGCCTGGAGTAGTTGGAAGTGCCCTGACAGGAAGTCAGTGATACAAACTTCTACCCCGCTCGAGGAGACAGGTGTAGTGAATGGAACGATAACAGGTAGTCATGCTTCCAATGGTCCTGCACAGAGCCGAGAGCCTGTGGCAGTTGATGGTGGGCTGACAGGGAGTCAAGCGCCACAAGAACCGCTACAGAGCTATGAGCCTGGTGCGGTTGGAAGGAGTGTGTTGGCTAATACAGCAACGACACCTTCTTCCAGGTCAAAGGTCATGGTGACTCGAAGAACGAGCACCAGACATATAAAGAAGATCAAGGGAACGTCGAAACGAGTGACCCTTGGATCATTCTAGGTCCAAGAGGACGGACCTACGAACGAGTTGCTCGAGGTCGTCGAAGACAAGATGCCGGAGGCATCCTCAGTTGAGGTGCTCCAACTTGTCTTGGAATCTGCCGAGGAGATAGTGAATCTCTCGGAGATGACGTGGGATCTGTTCCTGTCCGAACTAAAGGAAGGAAAGATCCACGAGATAGTCGCACCAGTTCCAGAAGAGAACGTGGTGGACTGTTTCTCTTCATCCACAATGGATGAGAGCGTCTTGGAGACCGACAAAAAGAAACGGTTCGCTGCTCAAGGCTGGGATGCCTTGAAGGACAGCCCGTTCTATGATGTTCTGTGGAAACACCGTGATGTGTTTCCAGCAGAAGTGCCGAGTTGCCTACCGGCCGATAGGAGCATCAGGCACGAGATTAACTTGGAGCCTGGCACCAAGTATTGTGTGACCAGGCAGTGGCCGTTGCTGCAGCAGCAAGTCGATTACATCGATGAGTTCTTCGACAAGCGAGCCAAGGCGGGACATGTACGTGAGAGCAAGTCGCCTCACTGCAGCCCGAACTTCTATGTGTGTAAAGCAACAGGTGGATGTATCGTGAATAATGCTTATAATAAGCGGAACACGGCCACCATTCCGGCACAAACGCCGATCCCGCGGAAAGATGTCCTGTTGAATTCCATGGGAAAGTCAACTATCTTTTCCGCATTGGATCGGAAGGATGGCTACTATCAGGTCTCATCAGAGATACTGATGTAGCCAAAACGGCAGTAATCACCCCAAGCAGTATGCTATGGGAGTGGCTTGTGGTGCCACAAGGGTTGAAAAATGCTCCGGCAACATTCAACCGAGTGGTGGCTCACGTGATGCGTCAGCACCGTGCCTACGCGCCCCATTACTTTGACGATGTATTCGTGCATAGTAGGGCGGAGGACGGTCTGAGCGCAATCGAGTCGCACAAGCGTCATTTAGACGCTAAGTTGCAGACTCTGGGTGACGCCCAATTATACGTAAACTTGCAAAAGTGCGTCATAGGGGTATCCG